AAGCACAATAGTCAGAACAGAGCACAGAAACACTGCATTGTTCAGGATCAGGAAAGGTGTGCATCAGGGATGCTTCCTATCTCTGTACCTTCTCAATCTATATGCAGAACAGATCACCCAGGAGGCTGGACTTTATGAGGAGGACTGTGGCATCAGGATTAGAGGAAGACTCATCAACAATCTGCATTATGCAGATGGCACAACTTTGCTTGCTAAAACTGAAGCAGACATGAGGCATTTTCTCAAAAGGTCAAGGACTGCAGTCTTCAATGTGGATTGAAGCTCAACATGAAAACAAAGATTCTCGCCACTGGGCCAATTAGCAGTTTCATGATGGATGGAGAAGAGAGTGAGATTGTTGATATCACCCGTTTACTTGGTTCTACAGTCAATACTTCCTGGCACTATCAGACAGGAAATCAATAGATGAATTGCATCTTGTCTGCTGTCAGGGTCTCTGTGGAGTACTAAAGGACAATAGTTTAAGTCTGGAGATTTAAGGTGTGCCTGGTCCAGGCCATGGTTTTCTCAATTAGTGGCTATGTATCTGAGAACTGGACATTAACTAAGGATGATAAAAGGATTGATGCCTTTGAGTTGTGGTGATGGAGAAGAGTGTTGAACATACCATGGACTGCCAGGAGAACAGATCTATCTTGGAGACAGTGAAACTAGGCTGGTCTCTGAAGGCAAGGATTTTGAGGCTCTGTCTCACATACTTTGGGCATGTAGCCAGCAGGGACCAATCCTTGGAGAGGGACATCATGCTTGGAAGGGTGGAGGGACAGCGCAGGAGAGGAAGACTCCCAGGATAAGATCGACTGGAGTGGAGAAATGGAATTAGATCTGTTGGAGATGATGAGATTGGCTCAGAATAGGGCAGGCTTCAGAACTGTTGTACCTATGAGTCTCAGACTACTTGATGGCACATAACAAAAGCGCTCATGTGAGAGCTCTGGTAACCTAGTGTAAGGAGCTGGGCTGCCAGCCAAAGAATGTGTTCAAATCCACTATCTGCTCCACGGAAGAAAGATGGGAAGTTTCTTCTCATGTAGCTTATTGCCTCTGAAAACCTGCTAGAAGGTCAACTATGAGCCATTTCCAACTAGACGGTACATAACAACAGCACCTTTATCCCACTCTGGTACATAAGTGTGAAACTGTATAGACTCCAGACACTTTGTTGTTTACCTGTGTCTAGGTGGTGATGGGTATCATTCTGAGCAACATTTGAGAGGCTTGAATAATAGAAGTTGGATGAATATGTGTGAAGATCCTCCCCAAAGCTTTAGTTTTGATGTTCAGTCTTCAGGAGAGAAATGTGAGTCAATCAGTGGAGAAAAATTCCACGTGTCAAACTCAGGGAGAAAAGTGGAAAGAGAGGAAATGAATCACACTTGAGAACAAGTCCCCACCCACTTCCTTTCTGTAGATGTTGATTCATGAGATTAGCACATGGAGAAGTGCTGGTCCAGAGATCTGGTTCCTGAAAAACCAAAGAGGTACCCAGTGCAAAACTGCTGTGGAACCTTGGTGTGGAGGTGATTGTTTCTAGACTTACCTTGTTGTTGTATGCTCGTCGAGTTGGAACTGACCCGTAACTGTCCCTCCAGTGGGTTTTCAGAAGTGATAAATCATATAGGAAGAGATTACCCATCTTTATCCCATGGAGCAGCTAGTGGATTTGAGCCATGTGCCTTTGGGATTGCAGCACAGCTTCTTTCTACTCAGCCTTCTGTGTGGAAAACCCAATATTATTTAATACCTTTATAACCTGTATAAAAGGGGATATATGTTGAATTTATATAAGTTGCTGCTATCACTAACTAGATTCTTCCCTAATTTCCTGCTAATTCCTTTTCTTCATTTTTCCTAATTTTTAATTTGTGAGATACTATCTCCGTATCCCCCACTGACTCCACCTCCAAATTAAATAAGATCAGTAATTTAAAAAGAAATTGTAGAGGGAAATAGGATTTTAGTTTTCACTTTCACTGGTCGGTATTACCCTGA